ATATATATATATATACATGTGTTCATTTGTGTGTGCATTCATTCATGTGTGTGTGCTTTCGTGTTTGAATTCATTTATTCATTTTGTTCCATGTTGTATGGCGGCATCTTCTCCTTTATTGTAAGATCTGTGAGAACAGCCAGTCTGCTAGTCACAGATATCTCGCCGAATCTGGAGTAATCTCTGACACTTAGTAGGAGCAGAAATAACTATTTGTCGAGGAAACGATATGTGTGTTTTTACAAGTGACAGGAATGGAATCCTTTCAAGAAGAGCTTCACTAGAAATTTCTAACAGAAAAACTCCCAGGTCCTGAAAGATTGCCCCAGGGTGTCCTGGAGGTGCCTGAAAACTCCAGGTAGGATCAGGGCTTCAAAAACCCCAGAGTCTAGGAATAATGAGGTAGGGACTTGCAGTGGGGATGATGCTGTCTTCTGTTAGATGAACATCATGGTACCATGAATGTGGGTACGCCACGCTCCAATGAGAGGCACTTTGAAAACAAGAGGAAAACCAGGCAGGGAGCAGGGTTGGCGCTGGGAACCACTTCCCTCAGTACCCAGAAACACTGCTCCTCAGAAAAGTCTTCAGAAATGGACCCCTGAGGTTTGCTTTCATTCTGTTAAATGCTTAAACATATTTGACAATCAACATAGTCAGACTTCCAAGAGTTTGTGGAAAAATTCGATGATCTTTTCATTCCCTTTTTCCACAAACTTTTTGAAGCTGGTTCTCAAACATCAGTATGGGACCAGCAAAGAGAAGCACCTCATCTGCAACCCAACGCAAGAAACACACAACAGATTCCAGATCTCCCATGTCAATGCTTGTTGTTGTTGTTGTTGCTAAGTGCCATCGAGTTGGCTCTGACTCGTAGAGACCCCGTGTAGGGTCTGCAAGGAGTGGCTGGTGGGTTTGAACTACCGACAATGTGGTTAGCAGTCCAGTGTTGACCCTACACCAGGACTCCATACCAATGCTGGGTTTGTGCATCTCACTCTACAAAATGACCTTGATTGAAAATGAGCTTAGGGCCAGTCGCCTGTAGAATAGGGTGGATGGGGCAAGATGTTATATGGAGAAGGAAGAGGGATGTGTCATGGCAGGCAGGAGACTTGGAATGGGTTTAACTATCATGAGCCAGGTGGGGAGGTTCAGGAAGAATGAGTCTCACACTTGTGAAGAGGATAGGGCTAAGCGAGGAAAATTACCATGTCTGCTGAAGGCAAGGGAGAGATGGCAATGTGTGGGCTATTCAGTCCACCTCCCCCTGACAAACCCGAGAACAAAAGGAAAAGGTATTCCAAGGTACCCAGGCTGGAAAGCTACGATGGAGAAGCATCAACACACAGGCTGCCAGTTCTGTTCTTGCTCAAATAGAATGGATCACACCATGTCTGACAACACTTTGGGGAAGGATATAGTTACTGGATGGATGAATAAATAAATTACACAGAACTCAAAGGTCAAGGCCAAGTTTACCTGAGCCCCATCGGGACAAGCTCAGGATGGAGTAGGAAAATCCTTTGGTCAAATGTTTATGCACTGTGCAATGTCATCAGGAAAATAAAAGTTGGCTCCCATTTAAAATCCATGATGCATACCAGAGTAGTTGACATAGTGAAGGAGATAAAGCTTTGACTATCAGTGTGGACAGAGAACCCCCCTGTGCACACTATTACTGTGTTGAATGACTCTGTGAATGTAAATTTACCCCCAACGTGTGTATATATCTATTCAGATGGAAGCTTTGCTCCAGCCACACATTTAACCGACTGTGGTTATCCGGTTTGCTCCCTGGTACAAACTAATATGCAATATATATGAGGTTAAACATACCGGCCAAAGTGGATAGAAGAAACTATGAGAAGATAGCTCCATCCCACACTGGTTTCTTGAGGGACCGGGGCAGAGAAAGTTTAAAAACAAACTCAGAAAATCCTCCACACTCATTAGACCTCTGTGCTTACAAACTTGTACAATCTGAAGGGACTGCAAACGTTTCCTGGGAAAATTCCATTTTCTTTCCACTCTAGTGTCTTATAAACTTTTTGAAGCCCTTTTGCAGAGTCCAAAAAAAGACTCTGATAGGATTTATTTAGTAGAGGGAAGAGTTTCTTCCTTTCCCCCTATCCTCACCCCCCCCCCAAAAAAAACCTGTGTATCTGTCTGCCCTAAGAGATGTAACAACGTAGCAGAAAATATAGCCAGACAAAGTAAATCAGAAGTCAGCTGAACCACAGTGAGAGACTAGCCCAAAGGTCAGCAAACGTTTTGTGGAAATGTGAAAGCATTAGGGATTTTCAGGCAAATCCCATTTAGACCACCACCGTGCAGGGACTGATACAACGCTCACAATTTTTAACTGATGCCATTCAAACCTTGATTCATAGACAAGGCATTTGAGTTTCATACAATGTTCCGATACCACAATTTTTTCTTTTTTCCAATGATTTAAAAATGTAAAAGCCATTTGTACCCTGCTGTCCTGGCACCCTGGTAGCCCAGTAGTTAAATACTGGTCAGTAGTTCAAACCCACCAGCTGCTCTGCGAGAGAAAGATGTGGCTGTCTGCTTCTGTAAAGATTTGGAAAACCCATGGAGCAAGTTCTGCTCTGTCTGGTAGGGTCTCTATGAGTGGGAAACGACTTGTCAGCAAAGGGCTTAGCCTGCTGTATGCAGATGGGGGTCAGGCAGGACTGAGGTTGCTACTCCAATGATTCGAGCAGTGAAGGAGGTGGTAGGCCTTCAAGTCGGCTCATCTGTGGTTGGTTTTCCCTCAGAGATTCTCTACAACTGCATAAATATCAAGCTGTACTGAAACCTCCCAAATTCCCTCTGCTTATAACAAAATCAGATTATTGACTTCATGCAATAGCTTATGTTCATATTCTAAATTTAATTCAAATATCATCCCGGCTGCGGACGTAGCATCCGTTGTGTACAAAAAAGGCAGAGGAGGAAGTCAAGTGTGACACATGACTGTCATCCGTTTCTATGACCAGAGCGATGACGTGCTTGGTTGCACCAAGACAGACACATGTGGCCGTTGGCTTCTCTAGTTCTTCTGTAGGGTTTGGTTCTGGGTTTTGGCTCTAGGAAGGGCAACAAGCCTGGGCACTGTTTGCCATGTTCTCTTGTTCTTGTCTTCTAGGCTTTCATATCGGACGGGACAAGACACGGCTAATTGCGACACTTGCAGGAACAGCGCATGCATTATCTACAGGTAGGTTTACCCTCTCCTCTTCCCACCACCAGTGCCAGAACCATGAGGAGCCTGTGGGAGGATCATACCAGACCCAAGGAAGGGGCCATCATTCCTTGGCCATCATTTTCAGCTGTCTGTAGACACTTGAGCCCTCGTTAGGTCGTCACACGAGAAGCTAGAGCTTGACCCCATTCATCTTGCAAATGTTTCTCAGTGGTTTCAAGAACTGGTATCCATTGGGTGGGTGGCTTCCAAGGGACGGAAAGCCATGAGGCATGTAACCGGGTACTTCGGCAAAGTTGAGACGCACAAGGCCTGCAGAAGGGGCAGAACAAAGGCCTGAAACTATGCTGCAGGCACTAGGGATAAAACGGGGCCCAGAGTGCTCCCCCAAACATGCCATTCATTTCCAGGGAACTTACAGATTCCGACCTGCAATATTTCCTGTGTGGTGGGGCGAGGTTAAGTTCCGTCGAGTCACTTCTGATTCTTAACGAAATCTGTATAGGGTTTCCAAGGAGTGACTGGTGAGTTTGAACCTCCAACCTTGTGGTTCAACCCAATCTTCTAGTCTTGCCCTTATCCTACAATGCCACACCAAGACTTTTCATAGGTTCAAAGTGTTAGGATTCTGACGTATATCTTAATAATAAGATATACAGAGTCCTAACTTTTGTAGATTTAGATGTTAGGATTCTGACATAGATCTTGTTGTTAAATGCCTTTCAGTTGGTTCCGATGCATAGCAATTCTGTATGGGATTTCTGAGGAGCAACTGGTAAGTTTGAACTGCCGACCTTGTGGTTCAAAACCGACCTTGCAGTCCTGCGCACCACACCAGGGCTCTTTCAGAGGTTCAGATGTTAGGATTCCAACATAGGGTTTCCAAGGAGCGACTGGTGAGTTTGAGTCACCAGCCTTGTGGTTCAAACTGACCTTGCAGTCCTGCGCTTATCCTATAGCGCCACAACAAAGGTCTCCTGTTTAGAGCTCTGCATCTGTTCTTCGTGGGTTTTTGTCATTTGTTGTTTTAATTTTTTTGTTGTTTTGAGGTTCATTGCAGACAATAAGAATACTGCAGAAACTTTGTACAGGAAAAAACCACTGTTGTTGTTGTTAGGTGCCATTGAGTCAATTTCAACAGAACAAAACACTGCCCGGTTCTGCGTTCTCCTCACAAGTGTTGTTCTGTCTGAGTCCACTGCTCCTGCCACTGTGCCAGTCCATCTCATTGGGGGTCTTCCTCTGTTTTGCTGACCCTGCGCTTTACCTTGTCCAGGGACTGGTGGCGCCTGATAACCCGTCCATAGTGTGAGCCGTGAGGTCTCACCACCCTTGTTTCTAAAGAGTATTCTGATTGTATTTCCGCCGGTTGTTGTTGTTAAGTGCCCTTGACTTGGTCCGACTCATAGAAACCCTGTGTAGGGTTTCCAAGAAGCGGTTGGTGGATCTGAACCATCTGGCTAAGTTTTATGAAATGACCTAGGGTGTTAGGAGATGGTCACAAACAACGGAGATGTGGTTATATTTGGAAGTTTTCTTTCAGAGGTGGAATTTTCACAAAATAGAAGCACAATTAGAGATGCCACAACTAGATCATATTTTAAAATGAAATCTGAGAAAGAAATGCTTTAGGTGTTCTACCAAATTCTCAAAGAATCTAGAGATATGTGAGGGCTTCAAAAAGTTCATGGAAAAATGAAATTAAAAGAGAATGGAATTTTTACATGAACTTTTTGAAGCTCCCTCATATGGTTATACAGCTAAGTATGAAAGGGTCTTCAAGAAGTTCCTAGAAAATTTTCATTATCACCGAATTCCATTTTTCTATGAACTTTTTGAAGCCCCCTGTTATATATCATGGGGCTTTCCCACTGCCCCCACTCCAATAAGCAACCTCTAAAAAGATTCCTGCTCCCAGAAAGATTTACAGCCTCAGAAACCCTACACAGGGGCACTGTGAGTCCAAACCCACTCCATGGCACAGAACCACCACCATCATCAAAATGAGTCTGGTGATGGGGAGAAGGCACACGTCTCAAGTACAAGTAATCCTCACCTTACAACGTATTAGAGTTATGGCGAACCATTACAACCATCCTGGGTTTTTGGTACATCCTGGTATGGTGCTGTGGGTTAATGCGCTGGACTGCAAGGTCGGTGGTTCAAGCTCACCAGCCACTCTTTGGAAACCCTATACAGGGTCGCCATGAGTCGGTACCGACCTGATGGCACTTAACAACAACAAATAACAGTAATATATATACAACATTCAGTGTGGTAACATGTGATTTGATGTTATCACAGTCATGCCAACCACAAAAAGATAAAGATCTGATTTATGCTAAAGATACTGATAATGAAAGGTAACAATAGTGAAAACGTAAAAAAAAAATACAAATATTAGGAGATATTTGACTTAATCGGAAATCACAAATGAGTCCAGAACCAGTCATAACCTGGGCTCTACCTGTGCAGCCCACACAATCCCAGGCCCATCCACTTCCTCTCTTAGGGGAGGCATGGATACAGGACCACTCAGGACACAGTAGCCTTGGAAGGGCTCTGCGTTGGTTCAGAGCAGACGTGGGTCGTCCGCTGACCTGTCGGAAGCAAGGCAGCTGTGAGTCTGAAATGACAGTCGGGATGACTGTCCCTCCCAGGGACATCAGACAGTGTCTGCAGACATCTTACAGAGCCCCATGATTCAGGGAGTGGGCAGGCACGCGACTGTTAACCTCCAAGTCAGCAGTTCAAACCCACCAGCCGCTCCAAGGGAAAACTCTGTGGTGGTTGACTTCGGTAATGATTCGAAGTCTGTGAGATCCTTTGAGGGTAGCTCTAGTCTGTTCTATATAGTCCTAGGAGTCCAGCTGACGAGACAACAGTGAATGCATTTTGACTTTTGTTTGGAGACAGCTTGTCACACTGGCATCTAATGGGTACAGGTCAGGGATGCTGCTAATTTCCCCCTCCCCACACCCGAGCAAAGACTCATCCAGGCTAAGAGGTCAGTAGGACACCAGAGGGGTTTACTTGTTTAATATTATAAATAACTGACATTTCACAGGTATTTGTAGCAGTGGTTCCTGGTGTCAGTCTGGTGACAGCTGTACAAATAGGCAGAACAAGAGGTCAATTAATTCAGAAACGAATCAAGGGGGGGATCGTCACCAAAAACCCCACCAACTCAAAATTCCTATTTTCATTGGAGTCACATAAATGAACTTTCACACTTACATGATTTCAAGCTATGTCAGTAGTGTGCAGTGAAGCCCAGATGTGCTTCTGGAATGCAGACACCCCACTGCATTCCCTGTAGCTCCACGTGGTTTTCCAAAAACAACACTTGCTTTCCTTCCTTCAGAGTGACCCAAGGTCTTGGGGTCTCACAGTTCTGCAGGGCGCCTACTTGATCTGCCCCTCCCTCCTTCCTACTCAGTGTTTTCTCACCTTACTCTTTCTGAAACATCAGCTCACAGAAATCACGACCCTCTCTCGTCTTGGATTTGTTCTTTAGTTTAGGTCACAGTCATATAAATGACATCGTTTTAACCACACACGCACAAATGGGTCCAGGAACAACTACAGCAACATCCTCTTGGTAAGCACACAACTAGAAGAGTAGGGATGGATGGTACCAGGTAAACAACAGAGATGCCCATCAGTCCGGAGAGGCTGTCCTTGTTGGCAGCATCAGATGACTCATACTGGTACATCCAAGGTGTGGGCTAAACGGCTTCTTTAAACTCATCAGAACACAAAAGGCTGACATGACCTCGTTGGGGTTACTGAATCTATTTTTGACTCGGAGTGACCCTCATTGATAAAGGTTTTTAGAGGCCGTAATCTTTATGGGAAAAATCCTGATAGTGCAATGGTGAAGTATGTGGCGGCTAACCTACCAACAATCTCCCTGGGAGGAAAGACTTGACTGTCTGCTCCCCTAACTATTAAGCTGAACCATCCTCTGAGATAAGAACCTTCCCTCAGGGCTCCAGGGTACCTAAAAAGGGAAGAGGTTAGAATAAAAGGATTCAGCCAGATGTCACACTTCTTGGCAGCCCCACCCACAGTTCAACCTTAAAGTGTCAGGTGCTTCTAGAAGAGCAGAAAGTAACTGCTGCAAAACCACCCAGATCACATTGGTCCTTGGGCAGGAGCAACACCCTGTTCTCGAAGCAATTTCAGGGGGAAAAGGTCGCCAGTAACAGAAGCAAAAGGTAACTCGTTCTTGGGGAGCATTGTCATTCCAGAACCTATGACTCAGATGGGCACCAGACTTCAGAGGTCAGCACTGAGCTGCCCTTTCTTTTAGGCTGCCTGTTGTTGGGTTCCATCAAGTCACCTCCAACTCTTAGAGAGTCCACATGTGGATCAGAGCAGTACTGTGCTCTGTACGGTTTCCAATGGCTGAATTTTCAGAAGTCATCGGCAGGCTTTCTTTCCAGGTGTCACCATTGGTGGGTGTGAACTGCCAACCTTTCAGCTAGTAGTCCAGTGCTTAGTTGTTTGAGTGCCCAGGGATTCCCTCTTTTGGGTGATAGTTCTGTGAAGTCCTTATATCCTAAAGGACTGCACACAGAACTCTGAGTCAGGAATCCTGTAAACCTCTACTGTACAGTGAAGAGAAAGGTGGGTCTGAAAGTGTCAGCTAACTGTGTCACAAGAGTTGGAAGTGAAGACAATCAGAAAGGCCATTCTCAACCGGACACCATCCTTTTCTCGATTTGCACATCAGTTTAAGTAGGGTGGCACAAACGTTGTTGTTGTTGTTGTTATGTGCTGTGGAGTCAGTTCCGACCCATAGCGACCCTGTACAGGGTTTCCGAGGCTGTAAATCTTTATGGGAGCAGAAAGCCTCATCTTTCTCCTGCGGAGCGGCTGGCCTTAAGGTTCGCAGCCCAATTCGTAACCACTATGCTACCAGAACAAACATTAGTCAGGAAAAAATCAACTGTCTGCTGACCAGTATCAGAAATGAGGTTTTTGATAGCTGGGAATTGTGAGGTGGTTGA